CAATACAGATTTGTGGCGCATGCGCGGACCTTCACAAACAACTTTTCTAATTCTATGAGTTGACTATGGCGTTACCGAATATCAGTTTGCTGGTTGAATTGGGTCAGTACTGTGCAAACACGCACGCACGCCACGCGGGAAGCCACGCACGCACGCACGCGCATCCGCGGCGCCCGCACGGCCACGCCCCCCCCCCCACACACCAACACACACGTGTACCAAACGTCATGAAAGCGTAATCGAACAGAGCGCGTGTGTACTTCATCCGATAAGCCACTGTTTAGTTTCTGTCGACGCTAATTACGTGTGTATACATAGCTTAGTCCGGCATCCACCTGCCTTCCTGTGCGTATGTGGGTGTCTGTCAGCAGATAGTCAGTGCAGACGCCCCAGTGGGATGACCACCAACGCTAACATTCGCGAGATTCTCCATACGCGTCCTGCATTCGGTCGCCAATGAGTTCAGGAGACTGAGAGAGGAGAGATGCGTGGTCGAGCGCGATGTTTAAAGAACCAGTGCCTACAAGAAATAGTTTGAACTCTGCTGAAGAGCATCGCGGCTATTCGCTTTCAGCTCGTTCGCGAGTCTTACTCGTGGTTAGCTTTACGGCACACACATGGTGCGAGTTAGCGTAGATCGCTGCTCCCCACACCAGACCTCCTAACGCGTGAAGACGCGCCACGCAGATACACGCCGCCGGGTGCTTGGCAACAATAAATGAGTTATGACGGATCATTATTTATTCCAGGCGAGATCCGCCGCTCGCCATGCACAGCAATAGTAAATCAAACATGTATCGATATTGTAAGGCGCGCGGGTAATTCTTAAGTTGCCGCCGCCTGAAGCTGGTGCAGGTAATGAAGCCAAAAAACCTGTTATATAGTACAATACCGGCAGTTATTAAGAAGTGGACATTCATGACTTCCGGTTTCTGTTCTTATCAGTGCTTTTTGCTTATCTCTGTTTCTTTTTACATAATATATAATGTATGTTAGCGTTTCGTCTGATCTCCCGGGAGTCCCCCGGTGCCATCCGCTACACTTGTAATACATTACAAGGCGATATGCAACCCTTATGTCAATTGGCTTGCGAAAACATTTGCAATTAGTTGTTAATGAGTTATATATCATCTATTCATCTTCCATATCATTCTTTCCGATATAAATACTGGGTACGTTGCATGCTTCCCGTGCTCACGCTTATGCGTGAGCACGTTTAGAATGTCACTGGAGGTTTAAGCTATTTTTAAATTTTTGAATTCATGTATAGCTTGAACATCTTGGTTCTCTGGGTTTCGCACAACAAGCAGTTTGCTCGGGGCTTGATTTTGCAGCAAAAAATTGCTCGGCCGCACTCGGTTTGGACCATAGATATAAACACACCCCGTGTTGGTATATATTCGCATGGTGGACGCCAGGACCGCGACCAGAAATCGACACCAGAGTGTGCTCCCACCTTTTGGCAGACAGTCGCAACAGCTAATGGCCGCAAACTCATTCGCAATTAGTTTTCCGAGCTGACATAAGAGATCCTTTCATATTTGTACTATGTTAGCACCCACAAGTCCATCTCGCAAAATCTGCCGTCATTATAGTTATTGTATACCGTGTTCTCTAAAAGCTAGCTGTAATGTATTTCCCGACTGTTAGCGTGACGAGAACGGTTTGTTAAAAGCTTTAAAATGAGATGTTATGCAGCCGGAGGCCGCTAGCCTGCGGGGCGGGGGGGCCGGGGGGCACAGAATTTTGCGAGCAAAATCAAACAAAAATTGAAAATTGTTTCTACTAAAAAAGAGAATTGTCGGTAGGCAGAATGGAAGGCTGTACAGTGCCTACTTCAAAGCTGCCTCAGATACCATCTCCTGGCGATCTAATTTTGCACAATTTTTCTGTCTGGGGATGCCCCCTCAGACCCCCGCAAAACCTTGGTGTTTTTCCACCCCCTCTTTTATGAAATCCCTGCGGATCAGCCACTGCCCCCCACTCCTAGAATTTTCTCAGCCTACGGTCCTGAACTGAGATCGTGTATGAAATGACTTCAAAACGCCTTAATTATTTCTCACGTCGAATTTGAATATACATTCATACGATTGAGATGTAGCATAAACTATAAACGGATTTTGTTCCAATGCTCGAAAGAATTCATGCCGTAGATGGCTCATAATACGCGATATACTGCCTCTTCAAAAATAACATGGAACATCCAGTATATTTATAAATTAGCAGTCAGCTAAACACGTCTGTTCTTTAATGTGCCACCTTGACCAGAATGGCTGAAAAAAATTACATGTGTAAACAAGCTTTACATAGAGAATCAGCCGACCAAGCTAAATCACGAACAAAAATGGCCAATAGCAAAAACACAAGAGCCTCACGTAGTTTAAGGTCAGAGGTCATACGGTAATAACATACAGGGTAATACCCTGTAACAGCACACTCCCCGTCTGATATCTTTCATATCACCATGTAAAATAGCAAATAAATACAGTATACTATATTATGTTATATTATATATATCATATAATATAAATATAGTGAGACAAAACTTCTTTAGTCTGGGCGTGGTCAATACATGGAATACTCTGCCAGCATCCGTAATTGAAGCCATGATGGCGAACAACTTTCAAGATTTGATCCGACAGAACTGGACAGATATGGGTATTATAACAGGTTAACCCTAATTCAACTCGCTTAACCATGACTATGACTATGAATAATATCTAATCAATCAGTCATACAGTACTCTCTGCTGGAACACAAACAACCAGTTCCGTAACTGGTCGAGTATATACAACTCCCTTGCCCTCCTTAAAGACTCGAACTTCCGCTTTGCGGACCAATCCGTCTCGACCAGGAATCACGTTGTCGACGATACCCATAGGCCACTCGTTCCTGATGGCCTGTTTTTCTTTTAAGAGAATCACATCACCTTTCTGTATGTTAGGCCGTTCCGTCTGCCACTTTCGACGGCTCTGGAGGGTGTTTAGGTACTCACGCCTCCACCTCATCCAGAACGAGTCAGCCAAAACTTGTACTCGTTTCCACTGTGCCTTGAACATGTCCTTGGTTTCACAAACTTGGATAGGTCCCACATGATCCATCTTTTGTGTAAGCAAAGTAGATGGTGAAAGAATGTGTGGGGAATCTGGGTCGGTAGACACCGGGACCAGAGGTCTCGCGTTCACTATCGCACACACTTCTGCCATCAACGTTGTAAGAACCTCATGTGTGAGATTCTTATTCACAGCCTCACCTAGCATGGAATCCAGAATTCGACGTGTGACACCAATCATACGTTCCCACACCCCTCCCATGTGAGAAGAGTGAGGGGGTCGAAAAGCCATACTGCTCCAGAATCGAACACAAAGTCCTTCACAGCTCCATCCTCGACATTGATAGCGTTGACTTGTAGGGCGTCAGTCGCTCCGATAAAGTTGGTGCCTCGGTCTGATCTGAAGACAGAAACTTTCCCTCGTATAGAAATGAATCTACGGACTGCGTTGATGAAACTAGATGCTCCCATCTCTTCGACCACCTCTATGTGAATCGCTCTAGTCACCAGACATGTGAACAATATTGCCCAACGTTTGGTATTCGCTTGACCTCTTCGAGTGCGCCGTGCAGTGACGTGCCAGGGACCAAACGTGTCCACGCCAACATTGGTAAAAGGTGGTCCTGGGGTGAGTCTATCCGCCGGCAGGTCGGCCATCTTTTGCACCTCCTGCCTCCCACGCAGTTTACGGCACCTAACACACTGATAGATTATCCAAGAAATAAGCCTCTTTCCTCCCACAACCCAACGTCCGGCACTTCTCACGGCACCCTCTGTGAAGTGTCGTCCCTGATGCTGGATGTTCTCATGGTACATACGGATCAGTAGTGTCGAGACGTGATGTCGACCAGGAATTACTACAGGATTCTTCTCCTGAAGAGTAACATCTGCCCTCCCGATACGACCGCCTACCCTGAGCAAACCGTCACTGCCAATAACGGGATTCAGTTTCAGGATAGAGCTGTCATTGGGTAATTGTTTCCTCTCCCTAATGCATTGCAATTCCTTGGAGTACGCTTCTTTCTGAACCTCTCTGAGGATGAATTGCTCTGTGTCCCCGTAACTCTTCACAGTTTTCGATTTCGACCGCACGTCGTCGCTTCCACATACACCGTCACCTCGACGGTCACGTACAACGCATCTGAGAAGTGCGATTGCCTTCACGAATTTCTTCCACGAGGAGAACTTGCGAGCCTTCTGTAGCCAAAATGGGTTTCCGACTTTGGTCGCCATGGCAACAATTTCTGGTCTTACCTCCTTGTCCTCTTGGTAAACCAGTTCATGCTCCATGACCTCGTCGTTACTGTCACTATTGCCAACGAAAGTCGGCCCCAAAAGCCACAAACTATCATTCAGCTTCTCTGGAGACAGACACCTTGTAGCACACTGAGCCGGGTTCATCTCTGTCCGTACATAACACCACTGCTCGGGGTTAGACCACCTCCTAATCTGGGCCACCCTGTTTGCTACATACATGTAAAAACGTCGAGAACGATTGTTAATGTAGCCTAAAACTACCTTGCTGTCAGTATAGAACCTGACAGCATTAGAAGTGAATTCCAATTCATCTAGTGTGAGTCTGGATAGTTCTGTGGCCAGAACTGCCGCACATAATTCTAGTCTTGGTATGGTGTGGCCGCTTTTAGGCGCAACCTTGCTCTTGCTAATGATGAACCCTATTTGCCCCTTTCCAGATGAATCCGAACACTTCAGGTACACCACTGCTGCATTGGCGCTCTCCGATGCATCTGAGAATATGTGGATTTCTTTCCTGGTGCCACCTATAAATGGTAATTCCACA